ATATATCACGTTTTTCCAACTGTCGTCCTTCATACGAGCGAGAACCACTGCCCATGGCTACCAAGCCTTTGACCACAGGTACTCTATGCCAGGACCATCACGCACGCCTGCCGGTTTACGCAACCCGTCACCGGCCTCCGATCGAAGCGTGGCTCCGCAATCAACTCCACGTGCTCCACGATCCCCATCGCCGCGGTGTCGCACACAATCAGCACCACCGGATAACTAGTCTGCAGGACCTCGGACATTATGAACTGGTATTCCTTCGTCAGTGTGTTCACGTGTTTGTTGATGACGTATGTACCACGGCCCTTGTAGATTCCGGAGTGACTGTGTGATGAGTCTAAATATTGAAAACATTATTGGGCCAAAGGGGATGTTTTCTTTGAAAAGTGGTGTGACATTCCACGGTGTGAGTCGTATCACGTTGTGTCCTGTGAGAGTTTGCACTGCCAATGCGTCTTAGTGCAGCAAAGTGTTTCCCACAAAACTTTATGTTATTGTGCAATTCACGCATGTTATTTTGGGAATAGATTTTTTTTGCTGGAGTGTAGAGCAACAGTCGACTACAGGAGTGGGCACCTTTCCACGCGCAGTAGTTTTCTTGCTGCGCGTTTGGGGGATTCATCCCGTGATGACTGCTCGTTTGTTGTTTCCTTGGACATGATCCTTCTTGCCTTCTATGCCATGGACGTTCCACTGTCTTATAACGACATTGCCATATTCGACGCCATACACGAAACAATTCGTTTAGCCTGTGTGAAAAAGAAATTGTAGTTTTCCATTGTGTGGTGTCAGCAGCTAACGGAAGCACATGTGTGTGGGCAATCAATAGCTCAATGCAGCTTGCAGTGTTTGGAATTAAACTCGCTGTATTGAAACCCGAATCGTCCGCGTTAACTTATTGCACTTGTTATTGATGCACGCAAAAACAGACATGTATTCTCTCAGCGCCTAGAAGACATGTTGCCTTTGAGTGTTCAAAACTCCTACAAATTCTCAGCCATCACTACACCAAAGCGAACGTAGCACCCTTCTCGACGTCTCCTTCAAGCTTGTTAAAATGTTCGACTTCATTTTAAAAGTAGCCAGAAGACTTCAAGTGTATCTTCTAGAATACGTCATCGGATGAACACCTCATTGTTGACTCCAATACGGCAGAAAACTTACAAAGTGGTGCGATAAGAGCGCAAGAGTTTCAATGAGTAAGTACAAGAGACGCTAACATAGGGGGTGATTCAAGAATCGGTGAGTCTGTTGGCTGCACCAGTGATTGTTGTGAAGATGAAAGATGGTATGTGGAGATTCCGTGTAGACTGTCACCGACTGAATTGCGTTACAAAGAAGGACGTCTATCCGCTACCACCTAATAGTGACGCCCTAGACTGTTAGCATTTTTCTTTCGTTGATTTTAAATCTGGTTATTCGGAAATTTCGATGCAACCAGATAAGAAGGAAAAAACAGCATTAGTTACCCCAGATGGCCTTTACGAACTCGAAGTGATGCCATACGAATTGTGTAATGCACCTGCGACATTCAAAAGATTCATGGACATTATACTGTGGGGTTTGAAATGGCATAATTGTATGCGCTACCTGTCTGATGTGATTTTTAGGAGCACAACACTCGTCTGGATACTGTGCCCGACTGTATGAAAAAGGCGGGGGTTGGGGTAAATTATAGAATATGTCATTTCACAGAGCACCAAACTCTAGTGTTAGGAGATATTGTGGATAAAGATGGTGTAGAACCTGACCCACAGAAGACCACAGCCATTGCATCATTTCAGCTACCCAAATCTGTGAAACAAATTTGTAGCTTCGTATGACACTGCTCATATCTTCGGTGGTTCATACCCTAGTCTGGGGATATCTGTACCCCCTGCCGAACATTCTACGCAAGAGCACTCCCTTTCAGTGGACTCTTGAGTGTAATGCCGCTTTTCGACAGGAGTTTTCCTTCACTTCATAACCAGTACTCAAGCACTTAGACCTTTCTGCTTCAGCAGAGATTCGCAAAGACGCAAGTGGTATCGGCATCGGGGCCGTTCACATTCAATGCTCTGACAAGAAAGAACATGTCGTAGCGTACTGAAGACGTTCTCTTAGCAATCCCAAACGCAACTATACTGTAACAAAACAGGAATATCTCGCAGGAGTATTTGTTTTGCAACGGTTTCGCTCCTACATTTATAGTCGCCCGTTTACCATAGTCAGAGATCATAATGCCCCGTGCTGGTTGGTCAACCTTCGTGACCTGTTCATACGCCTCGCTCATCGGGCCCTTCGTCTACAAGATATGTGTTCACTGTTTCGTACAAAAAAAAGTGGCCTCTGACATGCGGACGCGGACTGCCTTTCCAGGATGCCCCTACGTACGACTGATTGCGAAGCTAACAACTTTGACCATCTTGTGGCTTCCCTATCAGCTGACTTCCCCGATGCATGGACATTCGCTGCTGAGCTGCGCAAAGACTGCACCTTGAAAGGTCTTTTCCTTCCAACGCAAGGCTCGGTAACAGAAGGCCCATTTTGCATCAGAGATGGTCTTCTTTACAAAACAAACTTGTCAACGACGGGTGCTCGCTTCTTACTGGTGGATCCTGACTCGCTGCACAAGTATATTCGGCGTATTGTGCACGATAATTCGACGTCTGGTCACTCAGGGTCCGTGTGAACACTAAGTTGCACCAATTACCGATTATACTGGCCCCAAATATGCAGAACAGTTGAGACCTATGTAGCTAGTTGTACAAGATGTCAGAGCCATGAAAGCGACCTACCTCCGCTTCGGTCGGCCACGTGGAACGGATAATGCCCCCTAGCACTCCTTTTGAAAAGGTCGGCATAAACCTGATCGGCTCGTTCCCACGTTCGTCAAGAGGCAACGACTGGATAATAGTATGTGCTGACTACATGTCGTGGTATTGCGAGATGGCGGCCTTATCCTCCGCGATGGCAGCCTAGGCTTCCGAGTTTATACTCTATTTCATCGTTATCCGGCACGGGCCTTCCTGAGTAATAAGAGAATGTGGTCGCCAGTTCACTGCCAATGTTATCGAATAATTACTTTACTCTTGTGTGTCTGAGTTGAGACGCTTGACAGCCTGTCACCCACAAACTAATGAACTGAATGAGCACACAAACCGAACATTGTCGATGTACGTCGCATCTGACCACAAGAACTGGTACACCCCTTCGTAACTTACGCTTCAACTCTGTGAAATATGAAATTACAGGTTATAGCCCATTGTTCCTTCGTTATACACTCGCTCACTGCACCACACGCTGGCCACTATCTTTCCTTTTGTTAGCCCGGATGATATGCCTATCACCCAGACGCTGTGTCGTGAAAAGAGACTCGGCTACTTGCACGCTTACGTACATTGGCCGCGCAAGACTATACTGTATAACACATTACGACAGTCAACGACGACACGTCACCTATGTTCCCAGTGAGTTTGTATAGCTCTGGACTCCCGTACTGTGATCTGGCTTTAACGAAAAACTTCTTTCAGACTACAACCGACTGTTCGTTATACTACATCGCCGAAGAGAGGTCAATTACGAGATAGCGTGCCTCACTTTAAGTGGCCGTCGTTCAACCAAGACTCAGGTGACGCATGTTGGCCGCCTGAAGTCATTCACACGAAAGATTCTGGAATGACTCACCCGGAGGGCTTCGCCTTAGAGTGGAGGATTATTAGAAAAAAACTGTATACCTACAAGCGGGAACCACGGGAAGCTGAAGAAGAGGAGGAGAACGACGACGCTGCTTCATCGATCACCATGGTCTTTTACGCCGGCGCTCTCATAATGATTTACATTTAATTTACATTATGATTTACCTTCTCATCTTTCTGCAACCTCTTTTCTCCCCTTTATCTCTTCCCCAGTGCAGGGTAGCAAACCGGATGTGCGTCTGGTTAACCTCCCTGCCTTTCCTTGTATCTTTATCTCTCTCTCTCTCTGCATTTAAACCTTTATTCAGTGCATAACAATGTTTAGAAAACGTGGTTGACAAGTTTGCGAAGGGCAATGAGAGCTTCTGAGCCGCTTTGTCCAGTACGATATGTGCTTCAAAGTCGGACGATGCAATACTCGCCGAAAGAAGACAGTTACATTTTGCACACTAAGTTGCTTAGAACAAAAAAAATTTCCCCGATTTAAAGTGTGGTGTACTACTATGGGAGTGCAAGAAGCTGTTCAAGTTTAAACATATAAATACTCGAATAATGAAGACTGTCCTAGCGTTCAAGCTGTGTTTAAAACAACTAAGTTTATTGCATACTAGTGACAGCTCTTCAGATGAGTACAGCTGTTTGGTGTAACAAAATCACTTCAGTGGCACGTACAAACAAGAGGACATAGACACAGTGTGTCTAGAAAAGGTTAATAATAATTAGAGTACTCGGTATATTTCGCAATGCATTTTAAACCTTGAAATAAAAAACACCTAATTTTAGTCAAAGAAAGAATTAATTAGGGGACCTCTTCAAGAATGTCAGCATCGGAGGTGTTCCGTTAATATCCGTATTTTTTATTGATCGACATTGAGCCAAATGCTGAAATTGTCTTGCATCTGATAACGTAATTGTATTGTTGCCCAATTAACCCATGCTGCCCACGAAATTCTGTGAATACCCTACAAGTAGAGTGATTGCCGCACGGTTGGTGGCGCTGCATTGGTTTCATGTGGCCCAATTTTACTTGATGATGAGTATAGTTTCCATGGGTCATTTTGCTTCAAAATATCAGAAAAAATATACCCGTCAATGGGAGGAAAAGGCTTAATATTGCACAACAATGAATTAGGTGCTTACAGAGTCCTTGAATCGGACAATTTGCAGGGCGCTATCAGTTAACTAACGTATGCATGTGCGACCGTTGAGTGGCTGTTTCTGTTTTTCCAGATTTTACGTCATGAGCGTTTGCATAGGACAGCGAGTTTATAGTTTAGGTCGATTTGAATAGTTAGTCATGCTTATGTTTTCCTGCAGGTGATTTGGAAGAGGTTGAGTCCTACATGAGGATAAAACAAGGTCCATTGGTGAGTAAAACTAAAAATTGTAGCTCTTTTTTCAAGCTTCCAAAACATATTATTATCAGCGTGCCTCTCAGACATCGAGTGCCGCTCTAACCTAGCGCACGTGCAAAGCAGAAGAGTTCGAAAAATTGAGACATCCCACAACGTCAAGCAAGGCGGCATCTGCCGACGGGTCAGCTGTCGCAACACGAACCTTCAGGGAAATTGTTGCTTATTCTCAAGATAATTTTCTACTGTGTAAGGGTTTATTTCGTCGTACAATCCAGAACTCGGCCCTCCGATGAAAATAAGTGAATACAGGCAACCGAACTGTCAGCCAGTGCAGCTGGTTGAATGGCAACACTATGAAATAAATCTAGGACGGGAGTCAGCCTATATACAAGCAAGTTTTCGTGTAGCTAGCCTACTGCGGAAGGGTAGCTACATCAAGCCCTTTAGTCAACGTGTGCCCTGTGTTTCCGGAAGAACTGTTTTCAAAAATTGACGCAAGATTACGCTGTGGACTGTACCGCAAACTAGCCAGGTGAATATAAATGGTCCTAAGTACTTTGGAATATTCTGTTTGCATTATGGAGTTTGTATACGTAGTGATAGTAAATTAACGTTCCAGGTTCTATCAAACGCAAGTTAGCTTCGTTGTTATCTTATCAATCTAGTGTGCGTGCCACTGCGTGCTAAGTGTTTGTTCCTGCCCGAGTTATAAAATACGTTTGTTGTTCGTCAACTCCGAGTTGTGACTCTGTCTTTGGATGACAACCCGCGCTTGTTGGTGCGCCGAACGACCAGGTCTCCAGTTAATTGTGATTTTGTGGTACGTTCCAGGACATGAATGCTTCACTCTGTGGAGTCCATGCGGTGGCCGCCATCATATACTGGTTGTGATAATGACTAACGCGTTTCGCGGCTAAATCTTAGGATTCGGGTTAATTTCTTGGTCCTGGTGGTACAAACGGCTGACACAAAAAGAAAAACACTAACATGAGGAACATGACAAAGCTTCGGGGTTTGTCAAGCTTCACCAGCCGTTTCGCTTTCAGGCGTGCCTCATAATCAAATGGGGCATGTAAAGTACAATAAATGAAAAATAAAGTGTGTGGTAGCACTCCACAGCTTCAACCACAACTATTGAAGCACCATTGTAGACACACTCACTTGATGTGTGGCAGACGTAACCAATTCTAACATCAATGGGTCATAGAATGTAGAGATACGCAAATTACAAAGATAATTCAGCCATTCAATCTTCGATAGTGCCAGCAGCTGAAAATTCCCGATGATGGTGGTGCGCAAATATGTGTGCAGGGCATGAATGTGAACTACGGCACTTGGGAGAGCATTATCCACATGGTGGCGCATGCGTCAGAACTTGTACCACTTCGGCAGCAGAACCGCGAGAGGGTGTTTACCAAACCACTTCCCGAACGCCAATCTCGCTTGGCTCGAAGGTGAGTAAGATTGAAGGCGACCGACCCTCGGATGCCCATAGTGCATAAACCGGAGTAGTGAAGTGTTTGGCTAAGGAACACCTTATTACGAAACTGTTATGATTTTACATCCACTCGATTCATTACATACCAGTGCCAGGTGTATTTGGCAGACTCTGTGCTTTATCTTTGCCGGGTTCAGAGGATGACCCGTACCTTTGAACGTATTGACGTCTTACTTCGACGTCTTCCTTATGATTGCGCGTTCATTCACCAAGGTCCTGGGTGTCGATCGACAACTTACTATTGCAGTCTTTGGGAAAAATAAACGAATTAACGAGTCTGGTCGCCGGTGAGGTAATTTGAATGGTGCTTTTTACGCGGTAGCTTGAACGAGGTAGGTCGCTTCCTGCAATGAGCTTAGTTCATAACCACGGCGCCCTGAGTAGGTTTTAGTAACTCTGAGATCTAGAGTTGCGTCTGTGGCTACGCAACTTTCTATTGTTTTTATGGCGCATATTTTGATTAGTGTAGGAAGACTTTTACCTTTCTATAGTTTGCTAGAAGGCTGTGGCTTTCCATTGCACTTCTGTGTGTCTTGTTGAAGGCACGCCACGTTATCAATAACGAGGCTTTCTTGGTGAGCTTGAACATTTTTTGGGAGGCCTGATACAGCGCTGGTTCATTCGCTTTGACGAGCATATGCGTCAATAAAAAGGCGTCTCCATAACTTTTTTCTTGTGGTGGAATCTCTATAATCATAGTGCATGCGTAATACCTTCTTGTGACGAAATACATACTGTATGGTAAGAATATTTCGCTCGACCAGATTTACCGCCACCAGACGACAGCCTCTCATTGGATCTGCATAGACTGACAATAATCTTCGACGTTCAGCGCTATGGTGTTCACACATGCACAATCTTCCCACACGAAAAACCGCCTCGTACGTATATGCTTGCTTGATATCTTTTTCGCACAAGGTAACCGAATCTTGCAGACGCGTACGTAAGTAAGGGCGGATATGCTACGAGCTTCTAAATTTAACTTAGTCTTATTCTCTATAACAACGTTCCTGAATGTTACTTTGCAGCTGCATGTAAAACATCTTTGTACCGGGTGTCATTCGATGTTTGTCCCGTTTGTCCCGTTTGTCCATGTCCTTGACTGCACTGCAACGATGTTTCGATAATAAACTACCCGACAAGCCCCTGTTGCCACACTTAAAAGCATTCACCTCGTTTCCCACACTTCTCTTATCAGCCAAGTTTTACATAGAGCAATCGATGTCTTCGAGTTGGTCCACTGTAAAGTGGTAAACAGAGGAAACAAAAAGATGCAAATAATAGAACTGCAGTGGGCGTACCTTCTTCAGAAGAGTTATCCGAAAGCGAGATGCACTTTTTGAAAGACCTTGACGAAGTTGTTTCGTAGGTCCTTTAACTTTAAGTGATTTTATTTTCAGGTACGCATTGTTCTGGAATGATGCGGCTGAGAGCTGGTGTGTGCCGTACTTGGGCTGTGACCGGCCGGTGATGGCTCGCAGCGAAATGTTTCGGCATCAACTATGTGGCTTAAAGCCGGTGAGCAGTGAAGTGGTCCTTACCTTTTTTTAGGGGTGAAGCTCTTTAAGGCGTGTGTCTGTACATCCTATAAAATATGGTAGTAGTAGGTAGCCACCTCTAGTTTAGTCTTGAACTGTTCACTAGATGGTAGTACATGTAGTTGATTGAAAGATCTTATAAAACTGTTTGGTGGCACTTCAATTTTTCTGTCCATCTGTCAGTCTGTCTGTCCGTCTGTGCATCCGTCCGCCCTACCGGACGCTTCTTCCAACTCATTATCATTCACTCCGTGAATATGCTGTGATTTTTTTCTGGAATGCTCTTCAAACATTTCTTCTAGCGTATTGTTCTGATGTCTGTCGCGTTACAGCCACTTAAATTTTCAGCATTCAGTTTTGAATCCTTCCTTGGAATTCGCTTGAAGGATCTGAGTGATAGAAGGCAGTAAATATTTGAGCGAAATACAGCGGGGAAAAGAATTTTCGATAGCGTTCAACTGGTGTCACAGCCAATGGTACAATGAATCAGTCTTCCGATTGTTCTGGTTCCACTAGCGGCAACAGTGCTAGTCGCCTCACCGTCTCGTACAGAAATGTATGTTCTGTCTCACGGTCTCAGCTTCTGACCCACTTATAGTGGGCATAATGAATATGATCCAGCTCGTCAAAAATGTCGATAAGTTCGCTCGGAAGATACGATTACGTAAAATCAATCATGGTACAGCAGCGTAAAGAAAAAAATTAACCTTCTTGTCAACGTTGAACGGCAGCACACCAACTAGACAAGTATTTAGATATGTATATTTCGGCTGAGCTTGTGACCAGAGCATTTCCTTGAGGCACAACCTGTCCGTGGAAAAACGAGAATATATTAGGAAGTTACATGCCTCTCGGACATCAGCGAGCCGACAAAGGGTGCACGTTAGTAATATTGAGCACCTCCGACTGAATTGCCGGAGATATGAGAGTTTGGTGATAGCCCTCGGCATAAATGTCCAGAATATGACCAAATTGATGAACAGCAATGCATGCTTGCCTACACACACAAGGACGTTACTGCAGATGGTTGCATAAGCAAAAGTATACAGTCACTGATACCTCTATATCCTGTTGCAGATAGATTATTTTTCTACACAAGATACCATAGTCGACCATTGGCACTCTGACCAAGCTGCTTTCTAGCTATGTCGATAATTTTATAGCCGTATTCCTACCTGATTTTCATCCCATCTTAAGGACACTAACAATGTTTTAATGGACATCTTCGTCCTCGGAGTGGCTAGCTGACAACTCGATACTCGTCACATTGGCTGTGGCTATCCTCTACATTAAGGTTACTTGTGATGATGGCGTTCGATCAGTAATTGACACTTATGATGAATCAGGCTTTATTGAACCTCTTGACAGCTGAACACTTGACACCCTAGTTGATATAGTCAGGAAACTGAAGAGCGCTGAATATAACGGCACACACTACGTACAGTTGAGCGTTACGAAGCGCACGAAGATAGGCCCAAATTACGCAAACATACCCAATGATCAACTAGACAACAATTTTTCGACAGATGTGCACTAAGTCAGAGTACTACAATGTCTTCGTATATATTTATTATGGCATCATAGAAAGGCAGAACGTAAGTATTCGATTGCTGACTTCAATAACGTTCATCTATTGATTTCCTTCTTGCTAGCCTATGCACACTCCACCATAAGCTTTCTCGAGATGCCGATGCGCCATCTGACAACTAACTAACAACGAAGTGGCACAGTCAAGCTCCGCGATCTTCATTTTAAAAGCAGCCACGTCAAGCATAACAAAACAAAGCACCCCATACAGTGAAGCCCTTCGATTTGCGAGGTTGTGCTTCCAAGATGCCGACTTCTGCTTTACCTGCGACAAAAAGAGCGATGCGCTTGCTGGACAGAAGTACCCACCTGATGTATTTGATGGGACCATTAGACCGTGCAACTAAAGCAGACCAACACGAGCTTCCTAACTTGAGCAAACAAGCTGCAAAGTACCCATGTGCTAACATGGTATTAACTCACCCTGCATCGACACCAAACGTTAACTGCACCTCAAAGAAGCATGGCGAAATGCTCATGCAGGCTGATTACCCGAAGAACATTTTTCATGATCCACCACACGTAGCATACCACGGGTGAAGGACTTGCGGACGTCATCCAAAACAACGGTTTCATTCGTTCATTCTGGCTGCCCTCACTGCCGCGAGGCACGCTGCAGAGTGTGCATCCACATGACGACCACAGTATCAGTTAAGAACACAGCGCGAAATCTTACAATGAGAAACAAAGGAAACTTTGACTGCGGCACCAGTAACTGCACATATCTGCTTGAGTGATAAGCTTGTTAACATCAGTTTATGGGTCAGACTGAAACCCCATTAAGATTGCAATTCAATAACCGAAAGTGGGCGTTAACACACTTCCCGACCTACCTCTATTCGAACACGTAAGTATACTAGGACACTCACTTAATAAACTAACGACTACAATATTAGAATGTGGTTTTGAACCTCACAATAAAACAGAGGTGGTAAAATCGTTTCTAATAGAAAAATTTGCCAGTATTACCTGGTATAGACGAAAATGCAAGTATTCTTACATTCACAACGTAACGAATAAGCCATTTGAGTTGCAGTGTTTCGTTTCGGACATTATAACTGGTCTGTAGCGCGTATTTTTCGTAATAGATATGTCTCACTGCAGTTACCACTTTCTCTCATTTTTTCCTGCTTGCTGCATGTTGTTATGCACATGTTTGCCCCTTTTTGTACGTGCTGGTGTACACATTCATTGGACATTTTCACTGCTGTTTCTGGTTAATCTACACCTGTTTATGTCAGCCTTTTTTGACGCATTGTATTTGTTCTTTATTTTCGCCGTACATCCTCACCACTGTTACTATTTTTGGTAATCTATTTGGTACGTGCACCTACGCCGGGAACGCCCTCTTGTTCTGGTGCATACTCTTCGTTTTGGCAAAGTATCCCTTATGCACAAGTTGTGTAACAGCGTCATGCCACAATCACATCAAGCGAATCCCTATATGCTTACGCCTAGTTAAGTATCTTGTACAGTCGGCCAAAACTTCAACTAATGTGCGCAGTGGCCCCGTTTTTGTCTAATAGCGCCATATTATGGAACGAAGTTACGGAAAATTACGTCGTTGACATGTGAGATGTGGCATACACTTGTTCACATCCATTTTTTTCTGAAACCTAATTTAGTCGTACGGCAAATAAACAGAAAGAACTGCCCCTCATGTATGATAGCTAAAGATTTCACCGATTGTGCATTTGGTATCTGAGGCGATAGAGTTACGCACGTATTGTGGGTCCTCCTGTCATAGCCGGGTATATAAATAGTGTAATTATAGTACGCCCTCTATTGCCCGACAAAAAGAAGCTCTCAACCATACTAACCCATAAAAAGTGACAAAATAAGCTTTACCCATACTGCTTTGGAAACACTGCCGCATTTTTTGCAGCCCATTGACGTTGCAGTTACCTAGAGGTAATATGTCGCAATGCAGGTTCAAGTTCAGACGTATTTTTGTGTGCCAGGTGTCTTAAAGGGCGTAGGACTCGCTCTACTGGCCCTTGTTTTTCTCCTCTTCAGCTGGTGCAGATGCGGCCGCTGGCTGCTCATGCGGGTGAGTACGGCAAATATGGTATTGGTAAAGCATGTCTACAAAGATAATACTGTTCATTTAGCGGCGGGAGCATGACCAGAAATCTCAGAAACTGTTGGTTCGATTTTATCGTTTTGCCACAATGCAGCCCGTCAATGAACATTGCTTAAAAGTAAAGATGCTGCTGAACAAGTGGAGTATATTGTGGAATGTAAAACTGAATACAATGGCAATGGTCCGTTACCAAACCATCAGTGTTTATATTGTACCCAATAATGTGAACTAAGTAGCATGTGAATGTTTTGAATGCCCACCTATGACAAAACGATCGTATTTGCTCATCAGAAGCAGAACCAGCAGCTAAGTGAACGGCGGCGTAGGTTCTCGTGTTGCCCTACAGAACGCATTGTAAACTTTTCACTAATTCGCAAAAAAAAAAACATGGCTTAGTGGGATACTTCAAGTCTATCTTTCCTCAGCATGGTCTACTCAGAGGCTTTTGCCTCTGCTTGTCCTGATTGGGGTGAGGTTAGTGACTTGGAACATAAGTTGTGCTGGTGCTACTCGTTACGTAGCCCAAGCCGGCTCACAGAAGAAGATTGTGACTCAGCCTTACAAAGTTCAGAGTTACTACCACAGCTACTGGCTGCCCAGAGAGCACACGATGTGGCGGTGAGGCTAGGCCTTCCCGCTCCTACGTGGGAGCGGCCCGCGACATTGCTTTAAAGAAGTAGCGTTTCTCAGGGCCCAATAAAGTTCTGTGTGAGTGTCTGTGTGTAGGGGGCACCTAAAAACTTTGCTCGCAGTTGACATGCAATGATAGTTGACATACTTGATGCATACAATGATACATACAATGATACAAATGTTAAGCGCAAAGTTGTTTCTTTCTTCATGACACGGTTCAGGCCATGGAGTTTCCTAATTTACACTAGAGGAAACTCTGGCGCTAGTGTCTATGGGAGCTGCAACGCACGGCGCTTCAGCGAGCATGGGAATGATTGGTAGTACACACATTTGTCTAATCTTTGTACTTTTGGCCTGCTTTCGGCTTCATGTGTGTTCGTGTGGCTTGGAGCTGTTTTCTGAGGAAACAAAAAGCAGCAAATGTTCAGCGGTTGCGCTTCACCACCTTGTTCTTTTAGACTTAACTTTTCAAAGCGGGTCACGAAGTTCAGAAAGGTTGAATCTTTCTTTCAAAACAAAACTGAAACACAGCAATAAACGAAGCCGCAAATACGATCCACTGCTCGCGAGTACGAAGACTAGGCAAATGTTTTTGCTACCCATCATTCCCATGGTCGCTGAATGATCGCAGCGACAGAGTCTCCTCTAGTTAATTTTATGAAACTCTGTGGATCAGGCCACTGCCCCGAGAAATAAAGCAGACTAGTAGTTGAGAAGATGATACACACGAGGCCAAATTACAATATTGCGTTCTACCCCGGGAGGCAAAGCTGAAGCATCGGCCCATTTTTTTCCAACTCTAATATGGTACGCGTGATGTATTTCAGGCGCTTTGCAAAATGAAAGTATTTAGCACTCGTACTGGATGCGATTAGTCAGTACTGGATGCGAAAGTACTCGATGCGCTTAGTCTAGTGCTAGAAGCTTTAGAGTAGACCATGGCTAACCCACCACTGTCTTTCAGGGATGAGGTTCGTAAACCAGCAATACTGCAGTGGAATGCCAGGGGACTGAGATCGCGTATTGGTGACTTTCGTCCCTTTGTGTACGTCAATGTGTTTCCCGTAATCGTCATCTGTGAGCCTAACTTATCGAGTGCAATACGACTCTCGGGATACGAACCTTTTATGTCGTCTACTGTTACTGAAAGCAGCAAGGTTCTGGTGTACATTCGCCGAGACCTCACTTACATCCTTCAACCTGTACCACCTCATGACGGAAACCAATACGTATGCTTAAGAGTGAAGAAGAGGAGGCTCAACATCTTTGTGGTTGGCGCATACCTATCACCATCAAGCCGTTTCGATCGAAAAAGACTACGAGACATCGTAGCGTTAACTCCTGACCCGTGTGTTATCATTGGGGATTTTAACGCTCATCATACATTATGGGGAAGTCAGAATACCAACTTGAAGGGCAGAAACTTGGTGTCTTTTGCCTCCGACAACAAACGTTGGTTACTGAACGATGACAGTCCTACATTTTTACGTGGCTCAACATACAGTAGCTGTCTCAACTTGGCTTTCGTTTCGCGAAGCCTAGTGAAACATACTGAATGGTTCACGGATATAGAAACGCATGGGAGTGATCACATTCCAACGTACATCAAGATCAGAGGATTGTCGCCTCCTAAAGTGCGCGACATGGTTAAAAGAGTGGACTGAAAAAAATTTGTCTCGTTTGGAAGACCAATTCCAAGAACACATATCCTATTTACAAGAGGCCATCAAGAGCACTGTAAAAGAGACTGCGTGTACGATCCCATGCCCTGTAAGAATCAAGGATATCGACATAGAGCTGGAGCGGCGTCGAGCCTTGCGACGACGAGCTGAAAGAAGGTACCGGCGCACGAAGGACATAGAAGATTTACGGACTGCTAGACGTATGCAGAAGAAGATCAAACGTCGGTTGGACAAGCTATAATTTGAACGCTGGAATACTTTCTGCGAGTCACTCAACCCTCATAAGCCTTTATCGCAGATATGGAGGACGGTTAGAGGTTTGCGGTCATCCCCCGCTCATAAGTCACCATTCAAGGCCTTAGCCCTTCACCAAAATCGACTAGATGTGGACGTTGCTGAATATTTCTGTGCCGGATTATCAGGGCAAACTACAGCACTTAGCAGCTCACCACTTTCGAGCAGTTGTCTGCCACCACATGATTCCTGTATGGACTTCCCGTTCACCATTCAGGAGCTCAAGGCAGCACTCGCTTCACGCAAACGTACCTCCGCACCAGGACCTGACGGAATCTCCTACAGAGCCCTGTGTCATCTGGGTGAGCGCGCGAGAATAGCTCTACTTCAGCTATATACTGATTGTTGGCTAGAGGGCGCTGTCCCCTTAAGTTAAAAAACTAGTCGTCTAGTACCACTGCTAAAACCTGGCAAATCACCATTGGAACTCTCCTTTTATCGCCCAATTGCATTGGCTAGTTGCATGGGTAAAGTGATGGAGAGAATGATTCTCGGCCGACTCGAATGGTACTTGGAGTATCATGAGATCTACCCAAATGCCATGGCTGGCTTTCGACGTGGTCGATCATCGATCGATAGCGTCATCGACCTAATCACGTACGTTGAACACGAAAAAGGCCATAAGCGCCTTTGCGCCTCTCTGTTCCTTGACGTCAAAGGAGCCTATGATAACGTTACACATGAAGCCGTCCTCACCGCACTAGAAGAGATTGGAGTGGGTGGCCGAATGTTTAAGTGGATACGCAGTTATCTCCAAGTGCGATCCTATTTTGTGAGTACAGAGACCGGGAACACGTCTGCACATTTCAGTTGTCGTGGCGTCCCTCAGGGTGGTGTACTGAGCCCCGTGCTATTCAATATAACACTATAATCGCTCTACATACGCACCTACGAAACAATATTTATCTATCAACATACGCTGATGACATCTGCATCTGGACATCTGCGGTAACTCGCCTGCAGTTACGAGCGAGAATACAGAGAGCTGCTACTGCAACTGATTTGTATCTACGCAATTGAAGCCTAGAATTTTTCTCCGAAAAGTGCGCTCTTCTGGCATTTACGCGCAAACCCATGTCAAATTACAGAGTGTCAATTAACGGTCAAAATATACCATATCGTCGATCTCACAAATTTCTGGGTGTCATAGTCGACAGAGACATATCATGGAGCCCTCATGTGTCGTATTTGAAAAAGCGATTGACAGGAATATGCCATATTTTCAAGTTTCTCGCTGGAAAGACTTGGGGAATGCAGCATAATGCTATGTTACGACTGTATAGGGTGCTTTTCCTTGGCTTTTTACGATACAGTCTGCCTGCATTATCAAACGCCAGCAAAACAAGTCGACGCATGATACAAAGCGTTCAGGCACAGGCTCTTCGAATATGTCTAGGTCTGCCTCAGGGTGCCTCAACAATGGTGACTATAGCTATAGCCAAAGACCACCTCGTGCAGACCCATATTGAAATTGAAGCTTTAAGGACACACATAAGGCATGTGGGCCGGACACCCCATCACCACCTAGCCTCTCTACCAGCAGATAGACCTCATACTTCCTTTTGTCTAACAATAACCGCACATGGTGACTCTCTACCAACTGGTTTTACGCCCGCGGCGAGACCTTCAGTTCCTCCATGGTGCCTCAAACAGCCAGTCATCAACCTGACAATACCAGGCATCCAGAAAAAACGAGATTTCTCAATACCAGCCCTCAAGCAGCTCGCCTTACTTCTGCTGTACGAGAAGTACCAAGACGGCACCCACGTCTACACCGATGGCTTCGTCCTGCCAAACAGCTCAACTGCGGCGGTCGTTATTCCTACGCACGCCACAACCATCAAATTCAAAACAGCTCATGCAACCACAACAACGGCAGCAGAGCTTGCAGCGCTTCGCGCTGCGCTGCGTTTCATTAAGGACCAAAGCACGCAACGGTGGACGATTTTCTGCGACTGCAAGGCGACACTGCAGTCACTTCTGTCAAATCTACGCCGTGGTCTACACCAGCAGTTGGTATTTGAAACAGCAGGAATGCTACATCATATAACAGAGAAAAGGCACCACGTTGTATTTCAGTGGCTGCCAAGCCACTGTGGAATTATCGGTAACGAACGAGCTGATCAAGCTGCCCGTTCAGCCCATACAGAAGACAACAGCCAGTCAATACCTCTCTCAAGGACGGACGCTGCTACGAGGCCCCGCTTGCTCGCTCGCCAACTCTCCATGGCCCTTTGGAGTGAGCCTTCTTTTACGCATGCAAGATTACGATCCCTTGATCCAACGTTAAGCATGCAGCTTTCAACAAAAATTCGACGAGGCGACGCTACTGCTCTGTGCAGACTATGGTTGAGAGTCGCGTTTACCCGTGCGTACGCGTTCCGCATAGGTATGACCGACACCGCCGACTGTGCACACTGCGGAGATGAAGAAACCATTAGACATATCCTGTGTGACTGCCCGAAATACGACCTGGAAAGACAACAGCTTTCCAATAAACTAAACAGGTTAGATGACCAGCCGCTGTCAGAAGAAAGTATACTGCGCCATCGTCATGACTCATCGTCACAGAAGAAAGCCGTGCAAGCGCTACTGGGCTTCTTGCGAACTACTGGCCTGTCGGAACGCCTCTGAGTGGACTGATTTTGTGTGTGCGTGTGTGTCGGTGTTTTTCTCTTATTTATTTTTTAACTATCCCTTTCTCTTTCAACCCCCTATTCCCCAACACTAGTGTAGGGTGGCATACCGGATACTAGCATCTGGTTAAACTCCCTGCCTTCCTTTTTTTTCTCATTTCTCTCTCTTAGCACTCGTGTCTCTATCAAAATCTATCACGCTCACGTATGCTCATCCTCATTGGGAGCTCCTCTATGTTCTACTCGATCTCATTGCGTTGTTTTCTGTTTGTTGTCTTTGAGTCAGAAGGCAAGTATGATGCGTATGTTCAGTTCTTCAGTGCCTACAACTGCCAGTAAAAACGAAATCCCGTTTCATGATTATTGTTCTGTGGACGACGCTCTGGTCATTTCCGAAGTTTTATCTGTTCACAGAAACGTTTCGGCGTGTGCAGCATTTCGGACAGAGTGCGAAGTGTCGTCGCCTGTATTCACTGCTATCTCCAAATGTTCTTTTTCGGTTTCTTAATGCTCTTTCTTATTTGTTTACAGTGTGTCAGCCTATTGTTTCTGGACACATAGAATATATCAGTGTAGCTGGCACTGGTTGAATTACAAAGATACCGACTGTAAAAATCTCTTATGTCAACTTTTTTTGCTAGTTTTGACTACAAGTCGAGTTTCATGTGTGAGAAATAAGGGGTCGTTTCGTTAATACTGAAAAAAAAGGTGGACCTACACTAAAATATTTTCAGGTATCCAGAGCAATGCTTGAATTCAGCAAGTTTTGTCTTGATATCAAAAGGTTGGTTCGGACCCACTATTTTCTTGAGGTGTGTAGTAGCTCCGCTAGACGTAGCGAGTGAAATAATGCTGAGGGTATGCTGCATAGTTGGAGCGACGTCAAGCGTGGTGTTACTTTCTTTGCTGCAGTTTCCTGGAATATTTACTGCTGGCTGCGTGAAACAAGGCGGACACTCCAAGGAACAGGTATGTAAAATACTAAACCGTCTTTTGAACATTTATACCATTGCTGTTTGAGTCGATGTCTCTGTTTCTGTGTACTATCAAGCTTGTTAATTATATACAACCTTGTTATGCCAAGCGACAATGAAGCCGAAGAAATTGCACTAGCAATATTTGTGGCCTTGAGTTGTAATACGGTAGTTGTGGTATAAACTTTAGTAAAATAGAATGCATGAAAGGACAGGTTGGCGTTCGCGAAAAGTGAACCTTCAACTTTCACATAACCATAAAATGATCCGAAAGTTGCAGCGAGTAATGTGAACCGAAGAACATTAACGTAATCAGATTACGTTAGGGTATGTAATTTAGAGCGGTAGAAATTTAAAAGGACAATTTGGTATAATACAACGAAAATCGCGTAACCAATGGGTGTTCTAAAGGTTCCCATCCAGTTCGACTGACTCACAAATTTTACTTCTGAATCTTGAGCCAGAACATCAACAAAGTGCACATGGTGGCTTCTGAGTAGCGGGTATCTATCTGGTTTGTTTGCGGAATTACGAATAATGGCATAGTGGTTATTTCCATAAGTCCCAGAATTAGAAAAGTTTACAGCGTAGCAAATACATTGCAGCTGTAGCTGTAGGATTGCCCTAGGGGAGTTTACACATAGCTCTTTTGAATATTTTTAGCTGTGTGGTTGAAGAAAGAAAAGGACGTGAGCATATGAGGAGAGCTCACCCATTGTGCAAAACGTTTTCTTAGGATGCACGCGTTTTGCATTTGTCTGAATCAATGAAGCTTTGTATTGTTCCCCTCAACCGGCGAATACACCTTTATGCTACATTTTGTGGTGCCGAGAAATCCGGGACTCTGCGATCCAAGCAAGACTACAAAAAGAGTTCGCCCGCAACGAAGATAGAGCGCATCCAAGGCAAGCGAGTGACTAAGTGAGCTCTGCACATGCGTTTATTAAACGAAGCATGACGGCACACGACTACAGTCATGTCACCTCATAGGATCTTCGTGTGGTCCACGGCGGGCTAAACGCATTCCACGAATTTCCGCAGGCGCTCAACTAAGCACTTGAAGCACAGCTCACGACAACCAAGTCGCCGAAGGTTATGCTTCCGTAGCAGAATACGAGGAGAAAGCTGCTGCTTCGCTGTCGTTGCTCTGTCACCACGTGAGCGAGCACAAGGCGTCAGTGCCAAGAATACCCGACAGTGCTTCAACTAACAACATTGATAACGAAGGTACCACCACTGCAGAAAGCCGTGTCCTTGGAGATCAAACGAGACATTGGCTCGGCGGCTCTCTTCTCTGCAAACTTCAGATGCTTCACTTCAACGGATTCCCAACGCAGTGGCACCTTTCTGAGACATGTTTACGCACGCTGATCACAAAAACCCGAGTCTGACGAAGATAGAACGGTTCCACTATTTGAAGAACGTAGTAACTGGACAGGCATCGAAGGCCATCGACGCATTAAAGCCATGGAGGGGTTCTACGAAGACACCATCACCCTTCTCAGAAACAGATTAAAAAACAAGAAGATAATTGAACAACGATACCTGGCTAACCTGCGAATGTTCAAGCCAGTAAAGTCATCCAGCGAAGTGGCTTCATCGCGCAACTCATTGGACACCATCCACATCAAAATTACAGAACTTAAGGCACTCGGATGCCCGGAGCTCTCCTATGCCACCATTCTCATCGAGGTGCTCACAATAGCGATCCTCGGTGACAACTCGGTAGAGTACTTCAAGCAACCAAGCCGCCATACGTTCGTCCAGACACTTGAAGCATGACGGATCTTCAGGAGTTTCTTCATTACGTCCGCATAGTGGTAGAGGCTTGTGAGAGAAGTGCCATTGTGGACACCTATGGTCACGTTTCTGATATTATCGGCAAGGCATGCTCCCCAGAACTTTACATACAGCATATGCTCTGACCAGCCCCGCCAAGAATCAGAAGGGTACTTGTTTTAAATGCGAAGCATTTTTTAGCGAACTTCGGCGACTTTGAGCGTATCTATCTAGCCGCCTACGACTTTTAGCTGTCCTGGCCGTTTCGATAATGAGATCGATACCAAACTTGGTATGGCATAACATGATTATGAAGAACGTATTTGACTAGTCATAACTAAAAATTATAACATGTATGTCATGAATGTCATGCATTACATGTCAAACAGTCACACCATTTCATGGTCCTGCAGCTCTTGCGGTGACTTCGTTCACATGACCTGTTTCAAAACTGGTATGGTATGACATTATTGCATGGCGAACAGAAGCGACAGACCCTAACATGAAAATCATGACATGCGTGTCATGTAACATCACTACATGCCACGCTCATGATGCGCTGGCCACCGTTTTGCTAGCTTCACTTATACCATATTTGGTATTACGGAACGTGATTGGATGACGAAGCTATGATACTGGTGCAAACATGATAAAAATGAGATGCGTGTCATGAAGCAGGACTGATAGTTGGGCTAGTTTGTTATACATTATGGGCAGTACCGGCGCACAAACTCACGGGACGAAGAAAAGCGACACAAACAAGCGCTTACTCTCAACTGAAGAATTTATTGAAATATACAAGTTATCTGAACACATAAGATAAAAACGCACAGAACATGCGCAGAGGCCCGGCGAAGGATCGTGTCAACGTCATTAACAATTTTGTGCTACGGGTAACTGCGCAAGCGCGGCATATTCCAATCAAACAAACATGCTACTGATTAAGATTTCTTCTTTTTCATGTTAAGATATTGATGTCTGACTGACGCAAGACTACCCTTCTTTTTTGATGTAGAATGCTTCCACTAATTCTCTTGTGATCTGATCGCTATGTTTGAAGAGCACTGTCATTTCATTGAACAAGGGCCTGCATCCACACGTGTGGCAGTGCAAAGGCAAATTCGCGTACGTGAGTTTGTGCGCTGGTTTGTTCCTTGAGTTTGTGCGCTGGTACTGCCCATAATGCGTGTCATGTAACGACATGACTGCATGCTATGCTCATGATGCGCTCGCGGCCATTTCGATAGCTTCACATGCACGAAACTGGGTATTACTCGTCGCGAACGGACGACAAAGGTAAACGACACATACAAACGTGATAATCATGACATGCGTGTCATGCGACATGATTAAATGCCACACTCATGATGCGCTGGCCGTTTCACTAGCTTCACATATGCCCAATTTAGTATTACGTGACGCCAATGGATGACAAAGGTATTGTGACTGGTGCAAACATGATAATGGTGAGATGCGTGTCATGTGAGAACACGACTACATGCCACAGTCAAGGCGCCAATAAGTTTCGACGTGACGCGGTGCGCGTGATCGCCGGTGTTGCCACGCCAGGCACCGGTTCTGCCATATACTCGCAGGCGCGCGCCGCGCTGCGTTGCTTTGGCGCATGCATGTTTCAGCGCGTCCGGCGTCCCTCCGTCACTAAAAGAGGGAGACGCAGTGTTGTCTCGGTAACGCATCGGCATAGAGTAATGTTACTGCGTGGCATCGGCACGAAATGCAGCATGTCGCATTTCACGCCGGTTGCCTAAAGTCCCTGAAAAATAAACTAAAGTAGCGCCAACCGCAACCCTTCGCCTCTACCTCCTCTCCCAGCAGCCACAGCAGCGCCTCTAGAGTGTCCACCAGGAAACTACGAATGCGAAAGCACGCGGGCGCACTGGATATGCCAGACACTTGGGCAGCTCGGGCACTGCTGCATATAATGCTAAGTACACAGGCCCCAACATTTCCGCCTCAATCGAAAATGCAGCCGCCACGGTCGGCATGGATCAAGCCAGAGACGCAACGTTTACACGGCACTAAACGCGGCACGCGTTTCAACTGGCATGCACGTTTATCATCGACGCGGTTACTCTCTTTGTGTGATGCTCGAGCTTGACAGTACCGCAACACTATAAACACGAATACAAGCGAAACGATAGAGTTTAGCTCGCCGGTACTAACCTCATAAAGCCGCGACGATACAGGGTCCAAGTCAGTCTTTCCGATACGCTGGAGCCACACTTCTTGCCGAGCGGCATTGTCTTTTCCTCGCGGAAGCGAAAGTAGCTTCTTTCCTCTGCTGTACCTGCTTTTGCAACCGCTGGCGCAACAGGTCGGCATCCCGAAACGTGCAGGATTAGCGTGCACACCCTCATGCGCGGTCGAACTCCGGCTACACAACAATACCAAGCGCGCACGCCTAGCCACAAACAAACACCGCGAAAGTGGACAAACAAAATGGCGTTGGCGATACCTTCACAAAGGCTAGTGCGTCATGCTGCAGATTCTTAGCACCGCCGAGTTTATCACACAGACAGCAGTGGCGCTGCCATCGAGAGCGACACCGCTGAGCGCGTCTGCATCCAAACGGTGGGCTATCGCGTTGAGTATTGCCTGCTTGCGGTGATGTCCTTTGCCTGCCACTTGCTTATATACACGTCACATCGTCGTATTTAACGTTACTTTTTATATAATTTTTCTTTCTCAATCATTCTTTCGGTGCATCACCTAGAACCGCAGTGCCCAGATGCGCTTTAACGGAAACATGAGCACAAGCTCATCTTTGCGGCCAGGAGCCATACAGCCCCTCAACTAGCGTCGTTTACTATCTGCAATGCACGCGAGGGGAGAGGAGTCTGCACATTGACACGAATGGCGCTACTTTAGTTTATTTTTCAGGGACTTTACGGTTGCCGTCGGGCCGTGCCGACGGACGCTGGTCGCGACTTGCGTCAGACTAGAGAGTGCGCGCGTTTTGTTAACGTAGCTTCGCTGTGCCCAGCGTGTGCGTGCGTCAGCGCTACATTGGAGTATAATGGGCCCTTCATGATGCGCTCGTGGCCATTTTGCTAGCTCCGCATATACCAAACTTGGTGTTACGTGATGTCAATAGATGACGAAAGTATATGACTGGTGCAAACATGATAATTTTGACACGCATGTCATGTAAGAACATGATAACATACCACGCTCAGAGCGTGCTCGTGGCCGTTT